TAAAAATTTTGTTTTTTCTGTCTCCTTGCCATTTTCTGGAACAATGTCCAGCTTTGCATCACATGGTCTGCAGCAATGCCCTTTCGTGGATTGTTTCGTCGTGTTATCAGAATGCATAGTCACAAGGGTTTAGCAGTCAGTGAACGCACTAGTCTCTGGAAGAGACTGTCGTGGATTTGTCACAACTGCGTTTTAGCCGTCGTAGCTTGAAGTGGATAAATATCAACCCTTGGAGGGCCAATGACAAACTTACATCCTCCGCAAACGTCTTGAAGATATCAATGACGCACATTTATCATTAATTTCACACTATTGCCCCGTGCACTGCTGAAATAAGTGAACAATTCTTGCCGCCATGTCTTTCTATTTTTATTTTATATGCTTTACAAAGCAGTGCACCGGCTAGTTTCTGTTGCATCCTATAAGATGTCCCCGCTTGATTTCCGCCCGTAAAACTGACAGCTGTATAGTTTAGAATCTCTCACTATTTGGTTACGTTCTCGTTTATTGCTCCCCAGGGTGCAATTACACCAGTTTCCGTGCACGCACTGGCACAATGCCATTGTGGTTGCATTTCCCGTTTAGACGACTGTCAACAACCTCTTCAGTCTCGTTCGCGATAAGACGAAAAAGATTACCATAAAATACCGAGCAAGGTGAAGGATAATCCAACTAGATTTGGAAGCAGTATGCTTGCTCAACCCCGAACCAGTCATTGGCCCTTGCTCGGGTCGAGGGGCACTTGCTTGGAATTTTTTAGGTATTGTAGGTTTCAGACTCGTTTTTTGCTTTCCGGGCGTGTGCACCACTAGTTTCCTTCAGTGCGCTCACTGAGGCAGCTCGCTTGCTCCGTGAAAACGTGTGCCGGTTTCTCTGCTGCAAGTGAACCTAGAAGAGATTCCTCCGAATAACTGCTCAACTGCCAAATCGGAATCAGATTCATTGCACGTCAGCCTGTCATACATGGAGTTCGAATTTGAATGTTCATCACCGTGCAGTGTTTCAGAAGCGTGCGGCTTTTTTTAGACTATACAGATTTTATCAATGGCGTTATTTCCTCATCCGCGTTTTTCAGTTGACGCAACTTCTTACACTTACTTTCGTGTGCCTGGGAACTACACAGAACAGATCTTATTACAGTTGGCAATTTTTAAGTCGAATAAGCTTTTTTTACAAAATTTATCTTGGTATTACTTGTGAATAAACCATGGGAATGCAACAACAACACAAACCTTTTTTTTGTCACATTATGGTAACCGTAAAGAAACTTCAACCTTTTCCAATACAGTAAGCAACCTGGATCGCGTTAGGCGAAAAGAATAGACCCTCAAAAGGTTAACCCTTGGACGCACACGTACATCTCACAGAAAAGCCACAAGATGGTGAAAGCTTAACATGTGCGTTGTCGCTTGAATTTTTATTGATCTGATTTGTGGGGTTTAACTTCCCAAAACCACTATTTGATAATGAGAGACGCCGTAGTGGAGGGCTCCGGAAATTTTGACCACCTGGGGTTCTTTAACGTGCACCCAAATCTGCGTACACGGGCCTACAATATTTTTGCCTCCATCGGAAATGCAGCCGCCACAGCCGGGATTTGATCCCGCGACCTGCGAGTCAGCAGCCGAGTACCTTAGCCACTAGACCACCGCGGCGGGGCCGCCTGAATTTTTAAACCGGTCGCTTTTTTCCATTATTTTTCTTGCTTACAACATGCCGTCAGTGTTACAGGTATACATGATAATTTCTTCTAGCACTGATGCTTCTCAGTTTCCATTGCTACGCTCAAGTGAAATGGCTAGCTTTGATTTCGTCCTTCGATTGGTGCCCACTCATTGCACTGACGGAACTGATGGCTTTAGAATTAAAAATCTCAAAAGGAGACAGATTAGTCAGCATCCAGTTAGGTACCTCCCGGTATGCAGTCACACCCATTTCTGCGCAATACACTTATTGACACGAACAATGCCACTGTGGTTGAGTTTCCAGTTTCGGGGACTCAAAAACCGCTGCTCTTTTATTTGCAACAAGAAAAATTTTATTTCTATATTTGTAAGCTCAGCACTAGCCAAGAACAAGCTCACAACTGCTTAATTTTCTTCAGTGCACTCACCCGCACAGTTCCCTTGCACAGTTCAAATGCGTGCTTCTCTGCTGCAAAAAAGGGTCTAGTCGCGATTCGTCTGAACTACTGCTTGACCGGTGAATTTGAACCAAATTTAGTAAGTGCTTGGTGATGCCACATCCTGGACTTTGGTGTATGACAGCCATTTATTGCAGCACGTGATGTTGTGAACTCTTATAGAACGATTTTTTTGCATAGAATTTATATGTGCGAAAAACTGTATATGAAAACACAAATAATTTTTTTGTCACTTAGCATTCACTTAAAAGTGGAATTTTTATTTCATAGATTTGTCTGTAGAACCTTATTCAACTATAAAAAATATACAATTCTGAGACTCATTGCACGAAAAAAACTAGCCCTCAAAAGGTTAACCCCTAACTGCAACGAAATTTCGCACACCTCAAAACATCGATTTACAGGCACTCTAGCTAGAGTTATTGTTGCGAAATTTCACCTCCAAAATGCAAGTGGTTACACGAGAAAAAAAAAAAAAAAACTCCAACAATCCAACCCTTCATACCAGAGCTAGAAAAAGCTACGCCATTACGGCTGACTAACACACAGCCTGCAGCTCAAGTACCAGGCAAATTATTTGCTCTGTGCTCCAAAGTATTCTCTCGGCAGCGGTGCTACAGAGTTTTATTCTTAGATGGTGAAGAAACAAACTATATAAAGGTCCACAGTGAAGGAAACACTAATACATGCTCACAAAGCACTCCTTTAAGCGCGCTTCACACCTGTAGTTTCATCCTGTTGTCTCCGAGAACTCACTGGTCCACAAAGCGATGCTGCTGGTTTAAACATTGTGCATTCTCGCTTCATTAATAAACTGCAAACGGTAAGATAGCATTGTTTTCAATATTGATGCTGGGTTTGGCACACTTCCAGGTCTACCAAAAGCATTTCTGCATTACTGTAACAGTAAACTGCACCCAAAACTTTCATTATATTAGGCTTGACGAAATTACGTTTACGTTCTTGAATCACTTAGAATTAAGCACGACTACATTTATGTCAAACTTCGCTGCTTTGACTACTCTCAACAAGATGCAATCCGATACGCTTTTTAGGCTTCCATTACTCGCACGTAGATAGTGCAGCTGCCAAGCTAGTCCTCTGCGGGGCATTGTTTCACTGGTTTCACACTATTCTAAACGTCTTTCGAATCGCGTTGCCCTATATGATAGCGCGCAAAACACACCAACTCAAGCGTTTTACGCTATACTCTAATACGAAGAGTACCTCTCGACGTACTTCCCGATGTTAAGCTCACAGTGGCTGAATATTCACGGCACTGCATTGAGTAAAGATTCAACGTTGTTTGAACAGTATTTAAGCAAAGAGACATTGGCTGTGCATACTGTTGTCACCTTTGAAGTGCGCCATTCAGAGTACCACACTGTTTGATACATCGCCAATTTCTTCCACCTAGTTGCAATGACCCACAGCTATTGGAGCCTTACATTTTTTGGGAAAGCACAAAAGTTGGTTTCCACCATAACATACCGTAATTACTTGCATAATCCTCGCACTTCTTTTTGGTGGAGAAGTGATGCAAAGTTGGGAGGGGCAAGAATTACGTGGGGAAAACTTTCCACGAAAATGTACAGAGCGAAAAAGAAAACGAAGTAGCCGCAAATAGGGCTTCTCGCACCAGCAACTAACAGCAAGCTTTGAGAAGTACTAATTAAAATTTACCTGAACAATAGAAGCAGAGGTTCAACACAAGGCAAGATTTGTTTGAGACATAGTGCAAGCAAATAGTCGAGAATTAGAATACCATACGCAAAGCTTGTGGGCGTTGCGGGCGTAGCGGTAGCATTCGTCACTCAACAGGAGCCCTCAAAACGTAAGAGTAGGACATCAGTATTGGGCTGATGGCTATTTAACAGAATTGTCTGCAGTTTTTTTCTGAAGAAATAGTTTAGCATCAACCCCAGTCATATGCACACGGCCGGCCTAACGCGTCTTGGTGGCTTTCAGCTGCCGTCACCAGTAGCGAATACAAAACTCGCCGACTTCGAAGGGCCTACCGGCAGCCCTGTTGCTGTTGTTTAGTGCATGATAAATCACTTTCAACTTGAAAACAGCCGTGTAGCTTCAGTACCGCCCCATAACATGACAAGATTATCGACACAACATACAAAACACGCTGCAACGCACACATGGCGCTTTGGCTTGGCTTCGATTGGATTGAATCTTCGTGCAATAATCATACTCTTGGTGCTTAAAAGATGGTGCCAGATGGCGCCCGCTATCATCATCAATGGCTGGAACGAGCAGACTACATTACTGCATCAATTTTTGGGGTGCGATAATTACTTCTCGAGAAAAAAAAAATCGTATTTTTCATGGGCGATGTCGGGGGTGAGAGAATTATGCGAGTGCGAGGATTATGCAAGTAAATACGGTGTTCTAGCATCCTACAGCCATTCATTTCGTCCAAAAAGAGTTACCTCTTCCGAATTAGCCGCTTGTTGAGGGGCGTCACCAATGTTGGCGTCACGCAGAAAAGGAAGAGATGCTGCTGCAGAGTTTTTGCTAGCTGCAGTGAGCTATAACTGACGTCACTCGAGTTTGTGCCAGATTCGGCGGGACACACAGGTAGGGCTCCACGTCGTGTTTAAGCTGACAATTTAGAGCACAGATTGTAAACCAAATACGCGACTGCGAGATTTTTCGCTGTGGTTGTAATTATTGCGCATTTCGAGCAAATCCTGTCCCAAGTGAAATTTCGTTGCAGTTGACCTTTAAGCTTTGCAGTACTTTCCGACTTCACATGCCAGATCAAAAATACAGCTAACCCACTAAGGTAAAACAGCTCCCCCAAAGTGAACACTCAAGAAGACGAGTACATCCACAAGCACGGCACTTGGCTTTTAGAAGAAAAGTATACCTTTATTGAAAGCCATTACAACCTGCTTTGGCACACAGAGATCATAACAAGAAATTGCACGCGCTGTAATTTTGATGCCGCCCACGGGATGTGTGCTCAGATGACAGTGCACACAGGCACACCCCCAATGGGAGAAAAAGCTACATGCAGTCCATGATTTAGCGAGAACATAGGTCAGCAGACGAGTCACAACAGGCACATAATTAAGGATCAAGGATAATGAGCTGAAGGTGTGAGAGGGCAGCTGAGCCACAAAGTGAGTGGCAACTTAAAAATAATAAGCAAAGGAAGGAACTGAAAACTAAACTGCCAAAAAAAAAAATTTCTTTAATGCCTCAATGATGAACGTAACTTTCCCACCACAGAAAAGTGTGGCACACTGCTGAATGATGACATAGCCCTGACCTATCCTGCTTGAAACTACTCAATTTTTTTTTTCTTTGGGGGGGGGGGGGGGGGGGCGTCATAAAATTTACAAAGGTGGGAAGAAGTTGACTAGAATTGACTAGATTATGCTGCAAAAGGAAGAGAAACACTGTCATGACTGTTTCAAGTGGGTCTTCCTAAACAGAGGTTACATTTAGGGGGGGGGGGGGGGGTAACAGCCTTTCAAGATTAAGGGTAAGAAAAAGAAAAGATCGCAGGGGATACAAAAACATCCGAAAAGAAAAAAACAAATCTCGCCACGAACGGGTTAAACACCGGATAGAGGGAGAATTTACGTGCTAGGGGTACTGTACGTTTTCCAAATTGCCGAACTGCCACTAACTAAATAAGCAGAATGTTACGCGAAAAAGAGGAGGGTGGGAAGGAATGGCAGGGTGTCAATCCATTGCAGCCATGCGGTGTACAGCTACACTACTGCTAATGCTGCCACCTAGCAGGAAAGGCACATCATGTCGTCGGCTGGCGTCTGGCACAGGGGTGTGTGCACAGAGAGAAGCAAGGCCAGCACCCAGCATGCATGGAAACGAGCGTCCCCCTCAGATGACAACAGGCAAGCAGGGTGCAGCAGTGCAGGCCTTGTGTTTGGAGGTGGCCGCAAAGGGACCTCGAGAGCAAGCGAGGTGGGCGGGCACAGCGGCAGTGGTGGCGGCAGAGGAGAAGGTGATGCTTTTTTTTGTTCATTTTTTTTCTCTTTTTTTCTGCACGTGCTCATGAAGCGGAAGTAGCGAGGAAAGTGTCAGCCCAACACCTACAAGAGAACAATGCAAGGAGAGAGAGGGGCATTGCTGAAGTAAGGAAGGGCCTCTTTCATTTTGACATAATTAAGCTGCTATAAATAATTGGTAAAATGTTACGATGCAACTGCACGCTCCACAATAACTCGTGGCGCTTGGAGCCTTGGAAGCAATGGCAAAGGTAGCATGATGTCGAGAGTTCACCCGGGCATCCACACCAGGCCGTCCCCGTGGGCCACAGAAGCGGCAAAAGCAGTTGCAATTACAACCCGACCCTATAGATTCGTTGCTTTTTTAGGCAAAGTGGCCACTCCTGAGACAGCAAGCCATGACCAAAAGAAATCCTCAAACAGGGCACATTATTGGCGCCAGCAACATATTTCGTTTGAAGATTTCTCATCACCTCAGCAAAGCCTCCACGCTCCCCAAGCTTTGGTCTCGTTCAGATAATGGCCCGAGCACTTACAGGCACCGGTGCATGGGCTGCACTTGAATGCTTCTTAAATATCTATAACTTGGCAAACAGGTACATGAAAGTGATCACGGCCAACTCGCTACCATTACACTGCAGAAAATGCTTGAGCAACATCCTACAATGTAGCGAAAAAAAAAAAAAAAATTTATTCTCCTTTGGAGACGAACACTTGCTCAAAAGGCGGGAAAGATTAGACTGCCGCCACAGCTGCTGCAGCACACCTTCATGGGCAATGCACCCTCCTACTTGGTGTCAAACTGGGACGCCACAGGCCTGTTAATGTTCATCATGTTGCCTTTGCCACCACCATCACCACGGGCCACACTGAAGCACATGCTGCCACAGCTGGCGGTGGGAGCATTGCTCTTTGCAAGAACCCATGCAGGGACACTTTCACTGGCAAACACAGAAGCGAGCGTTCCGTGCAACGAGTAGAGAGGTCAGCAAGCACATCTGGAGGAGTGCTGAAAGCACACTTAGGCGTCCAACATCGAAGAACACAGTTTTTCACTGGTCGATCCGGGTCAGATTTGTACACATCGTGGTGACGCATCCTATTTTCACTGGTCAATTTGGAGCGAGTTCGCACTTTCCAATGGTCATTCTGGATGCACTCTTTCCTTGCTAGAAGTAGCCCTTGTCACATCTGTCATGTCTCGAGTTGGGCATAGCTTTTGATAACAGTTAGTGACACATGTCGATGCACCTCCTGTATGCCTCCTCGCAGAGCATTTTCGCAGGTTGATGCAGTTTTAAGAAATCCAAACTCTCCACCCTGCATTTCTGAGGCCATTCCGGATCGGCCAGTGAAAACCACCACAGGGATGCGCGCACTACAAATTCAGCACCCCTTGCTGCTTTCACACCATACCTCAAGCACAGAAGAGTTCTTTCATGAAGCATTTTAATCCAAATGCATTATTATTGTAGGGCACTTGGCCTGCCTTAGGTCTACAATGCTAAATACTGCCACTACTGGAACAGTCATTAAAAGTCAATGCATTGGACCACTGCCACCTGAGTATTGTGCACACTGGCAAATGCTGAAAAGCACCAGAGGTTTACTGCTATTCAACCCAACACAGGCAGCATTGCAATATCCATGATATCAAAGGATACACGAAGAGAAAGTGTATCGCTTAATATCAGGTAAGTGCAGCAGGAAAGTGTTCTTGCAGACAACTTTGGCAATATGATCATGTATGCCACTTAATTTTCGCAGGGAATATTTATAGCAATGCTTTATTTGCATTGTGCGTTTCCACACCATGCTTTGAGTGTTCCATGGTTCTGCTGGCCAAATGTGTTATACTACAGTAGAATCTCGATAATACAGTAACGGTTTATGTGAATTTCGCGATGATACGAAATTTTTTGCTTCAAATAAACTACATTATATAAAATATGCCGTGGTTCAATGTTATACGAATGGTTCCCCCAGCAACTGCGGATGATACAAACGCACGATGGACTGCTGCATGCGAGCGGTCCAACCGAGCTTGTCTGTGGGAAGAAGGCCCATTCCTACCTAGCCTCGAAGGAAGCGAATGCGGCAAAACTCACCAAAATGTCCCTCGCTTTGCTGCTGCAATTGTGCCCGGAAAACAATGCCGTGAAACCAACTAGAAAAAATCAGTCCAAGATCAATTTCGTTGCCACACTATATTGGATCACTGTTCTGCTGCGGCACTGGCTAAACCCGCTGCGCTAACTCTTAAACCTCGTGATGTAAACAACGAGCCGTACATTCAAGATGGCAACCAAGCCGCCGGCGGGTGCGGGGGCTCGCGTTGGCGCAATTACAAACTACCTGTGCACCAACGTCAAGGCTCACGAACTTGAAAAAAAAAAAAAACATTCATCGAGAGCTTGGTTTGGATTACGATCGCTGCAAACACCAAAAGAAGAAGAAGGTTCAGCAGTAGCGAATCGGCATGCCCTAACATGTCTCTTTTGCTTTGCCAGTTGAATCTGTTGGTGCCGGTGTTGGTGCGTCTGCTCCTGTCGTTTCCTCTGACGTATCTCCAGAACGTTTATAAAGGGGTAAACTGTTTCTTCTCAGGGCTTTGCATGCATAACTAGAACTTGATGGGGATTCTAATGCTCAGGAATAAATTCTCATGCGGCGAAGATGGCGGCAGAACAAATGTGAACATTTGACGGGTGCGAACGTGGGACTCACTTTGCCGCTTAAGCGTCAAAGCGAGTGAATTTTAACAAGTTCTGCCACTCCCCCCCACCCCTTTTTTTTGACGCCAAGTATGAACGCGCCTTATAGCGCCAGCAGCATGAGTGAGGAAACCACGACACTTTATTGAGATGCAGTGAAAGCAGAAAAATTCAGAAGATCATCATAGACTTTCTTGAGCAAGAAGCAGTTGGCCCCAATAAAGTTCTTGTTCATCTTCACAATCAGCTTTAACTTGTTTTTGGTCCATATGATACTAACATTTTGCGATGATACTAACATTTTGCGATGATACTAACATTTTACGTGCTCCCTTCGAGTTCGTATCATCGAGATTCTACTGTACTCTGAAATTGGTCACAGGGATAATAATAACTGGCACCGCCTGACAGGATTACGGGTAAAACAATAGGTCGTATTTTTACACAGAGTTACGACAACCAAATTAGACCAGAAGTCTGCAGTATCACTGACAGGGAAACCCTAAACACTGCCCCAGATGAGATGAAGTTTGCAAAAGTACTTTCTATGACACGGGCTGCCATAGAGTTTCTCACAATCATACCTAGAAAGAAATCTGGCACTAGTGAGCTGCTGGATGCAAGGAAATGACAGCGTATGTGAGCTTCGAACTTGACTTGGGTTTGTATACCTAGAAAACGCGTCTGGCTTCACATAAAAATGATTGCTTTCTTACTAAAAGGATACGTATAAGCTATTTATTTTGTCATTGTACAGAAACGTGTTGTATTTAACCTGTTGTAAGAAGTAATGAACGACTGCTAAACTTCGCAGGCAGGCAGACGACTAAGCGAGCGTTCTTTCTGCCACTTTTATTTCGTCACGTTTTTTTTCCCTCGCTGTTTCGTTGTGACCTCAAGGCGAGTGGACTTTTATTCTAAAATATAATATGCATGAACAACATCCGCTCAAACGTTTTGCTTTAGAGAAGCTTTATTTAAGCAGTTGTATTCGCTTTTGAGCCGGAGCCTCGCTCAACACCAGCAAACACAAGCCTCACAGACACATACAGTCGAGCCCCCTTATAACGAATCTGAGCGTGACGCAGCATCCGTTCACTGTATCCCGAAATTTGTAGTAAATGAAACTCATCTTTTAAAAAAGTTATCGAGTGAAAGCACAAACGTTTTTCAACCAAAGAAGTCTGTGATGCACGTGTTCTGAAGAGCAGAAGCGATAAGGGTGGTCTCGAGGTCATTTAAAATGGCAGAGTGCGCGTTCGCCGAGGCCCGTAGAATAAGCTGCATGAGGCACCGACTCCAAAATTTCGTCGTTCTCGTAATCCGATTCCTCCAAATCGCTCTCGCCACGTGCTTCATTCACAATGCCCTATTCTGTGCACGGTTCCGCAGTGTCGGCATAATCATCGGCCGTAATTAAATCATCGATACAGATGTCCCACCCGCTCTCCCAGGTTGAAGTCGGTAACGCACTGTCACAAATCGCCGCCGCAGTTCGGAAGCTTCAGGCTCAGCATCGGTACCGACGTCGAGGAAGTTGGCCTCGCGAAAACAGTTTCGCGCGCATATAGTTGTCACCGCCGCCCACAAAATAGTCACCATCTCCACAGATGAATACCGGGACGCCCGAAGTGGCAAGTTGGCAGCTAGATGGTCAACAGCTATGAGCGAGCGCTCCGCAACGCGGCACCTAACGTGCGGATTACGTTCAAGCCAAGCGGTTACACTTTCGACGTTTTGTTGAGCGGCAGGAAAAAGCGTGCTAGTCCTCCCGTCGGCCATCATGACCACACACGCACACCAAGAGGGAGCAAGACCTGCACACGCGACGCACATGCCAGAACGCGTGGAACACCTCTGCACCCGTTTCCAGTCAGAAAACGAAACTGATTCAAGCCAGCGTGGCGGGCGTTGCGGAGGTGTGGAGACGGGCGAAGGGGTTGTGATCAAGAGAGGAGAGCAGACTTGCGAGAGAAGGGCAAGGAGTTGCAATAAAGAGAGGGGAGGATGCGGCGGGTGGGCGACCTTGAAAACCAAAACACACGGGAAGGAGGCAGGTTAAGTAGCTTGCTTGAGAAGTCCGCGAAACTCGCATGTGGAAAAACTTGGAAAGAGTGCCTGCGCGCGCAGAAGTTAAAGCATGGCCGCCTGGATTGATGCGTGCGGCAGTGTTTGAAGAATCGGCGGCCATGGTCAAAAAAACGTTTTGTTGCGCCGGTGGGTTTGCGTGGCCTCACAAACTTCGATATTTCGCGATTCTTTCCGTGCAAATTAACAGCCATTTTCACACTTCCACAAGCGCGCGAAAGGCATGCAGAGCCGGGTGCGAAGTGAGCGAGAACAAGTCCTAAACACGAAAAGAATCGCAAATTATCAGAGCGGGTAGGGTAGCGTACACACGTTCGCTAGACGCAGACTATCGGATACAGTCGGTGGCCGACGATGTTGGCGAATGGTCTGGCAATGGCAATAGAATGGTCTGGCAACAACAGAATGTATGGGCACTTCTCCGATGCCTGATCGGTGGTCGAAATTTGTTTCCTAAGAAGTCTGTAGACTGCCGACTCCGTTCGCTGTAACCGATCAGCGGCGCTCGGAGAAGTCCGTTGCAAGTGCGATTTTGTGCCATTGAACCAATCTATACTTTCACGGTCACGCGGATATTGTTAGTTTTAAGCGAAAGTTCGTTTTATGTGGGGCCGTTATATGTGGGCTCAACTGTATACTGCCATTCCCAGCGCTCCAACATCGCCCCATAAGAAATTCGCATAAACAGTGGCGCCACACTTCTCTCTAGGTATGTGTGAGAAACTCTATGCGGGCTACTGCGAGCAACTGCAAGAGTCTGCAGACACGCAAAAATGCACCACAGGCCATATCCCTGAGTCGGCGATACCACTTTCAAGACATGCTGATAGGTTAGACAGGCAGGCAACCAACGGCTTCAGTGATTTGGCACTATCACGTGCTGCTGTGACTGCTGTGACTATCATAGCTGCTGTGACTAGGCGAACTTCCAACTCTCGATCATGCAGCGAACCGATTCTCTGACATGCTGCAGCCACAGCAAAAAAAGACACCAATGGGACCCGATAATCTGTATCAGCCAATAAAATTGTATGAGCACTCCATAGCCAATAATTTTGCCACAGTAAGCTTATAACAAGAAGGTAAAATGAAGGCTGAAGTGTGCTACGAGTTTCGCGCTAAAACACCAGCACAGTTCACCATGAACCTAAATCTGAACACACGAGCCTCTAACATGATGCCTACATCAAAACGCGGCCGTCAAGGCTAATCGAACCCCACAAACTTCAGGTCAGCAGTCGAGCACTATAACCACTATGGCTGTACACCTTTCTGAGAGACAGTGAAGTAACACACTCGGTAGGTACACTGTGATGTAGGTACACTGTGATGTAGGTACACATCACAGTGTACCTACATCACAACAGGCGTTAATCCCAAAATTAAAACATGGTGCCCTATTTATAAGATAACTTCACCTAAGCGACAAAAGTTACTACTCCCTGGAGTGTGTCTCTTAGAAAAGAGTTCAACTGGGTACCACCGAGGCAGGTCTTTTATGTATGACCATAAAACCCATGGAAGGATACAGGCTCCATCTATTACGGCAGCCTGACTATGACTTCCCAACTTTGGCGCAAAAATACTCACCGCCATGATATGCATCAATACAGTGCACTCACCTGCAGCTGACTGTCGGCAGCACTGCAATCGAGAAATGGCATATCAGGGTTGGAGTTCTTGCCCAATCCGATGGCATCCATGAAGGCGGCGCTGTTGATCTCGTCCGAGCGGCACCGCTTGTTGGCCCCGTCGTCATCGTTGCCCTCTTCTCCTCCAGAGCCCCCGCCGCCGGCACACTGGTTGTTGTACAAGTGGCCGCCAGCGTTTGTCACTCCCCACCACCACCACCACTCGTAACAGCCACGTCCTCACCAGACTCTGGATTGAGCTTGCGCTTGTGCACGGCGGACGCCTGGTTGCCGCTTGCAGTCTGCGCAATACGGACAGGACTGAAGCGTTCTCACACAAGAACGATTTGGGTGAGTTGGTGCACAGTCAACCGGAGAAAAGCAGTGAAAAGGACAAAGACAGTCAGCTGCTTGTCACACCAGTGTTCACAGTCTTCTTTGTCCTAGTCCTTATACGCTTCTGTTCCCTGGTTCTTCACAAATTTGCAACGACAGAAAGCACGAAACGCAAGCCCAAACCCGGTTGTATCTAGCAGAGATATCGCACTTTCTAATTTGATCCCGTCCCTTTCCCCTCTTATCCTTCGTATGGAGAGACGTTACCTGGCTCGCGACTTCGACTTGACTTGAGCAAGTCGACGTGAAGCAAGCAGCGGACTTCATAACGCCCAAGTCAGCTTTCGCATTTCATAGATGCTCAGGCTGTCTTGCTTGGTCAAGTCAAGAACGAGCTTCAAAGCAGAAACACGCTGCTCGCCTGCTAACGAGGTTAATAATGAAGATGTTTGCGTAAGACACGTGTTACAGCAAAAAAAGACCATATGTTTTAAAATAATTATAAAAACAAAGTGCCACAAGCATATTTTTGCCATTTTACGGCTAACGAGCGGCACGCGGTGCATGCCGCCACAGCGATGCGCAGTGTTACTTCTGTGAAGCGTATGTTGTCCGCTAGTTTTAGTGGCCACCCAAATGCAGCTCATTTCTCCACACTTGCTTGTTTGGAGGCAAACAAGCATCACATTGAATTCTTTCATCATTTTTTTTTTTTTCAATCGAACGCCAAGTGTACTTGTGCTGACCTGGCTCGCAAAGTAACGCGATTTTCACGGTATTTGCGTTTCTGTTCGCCTGTAGACATGCCTGTAGACATGCTTGTAGCAGGCTAAGTCGCAGTTATATATGCAAAAAAAAAAAAAGTTCTGGGAACGAAAGTGATTCGTATCCTTTTGTTGAGCTTGGTAAACAAGAGAAAAAGCAGGGGTCAGGACCTTGCCCTGAGTAGAGTTTGGTTCGCGGGGTGCAGCAATGTCTCGCTGCATGATGGTGAAGGGGGAGGCACATGATCAAAAAACCTGTGATAGGGGCACCTCTTTTTTTTGTGTGTGTGGAATTTTACGTAGCGTTGTGCTGCAAGCCATGCCTTTCTGAGCAAGAAACAGTGCCCTAGACGGGACGAAAGAAGTAGACTAGCAACACATACACAGCGCCGAGTCAATGTTGTACCGAAAGAGACTGAACATGTCGTCATGTTTTAGAAAAACAAAAATAGCCTTTGCAGTTATGGAACACTTAGGCAGCATCACTACTGGGGCTATTAATACACACGTGTGTGTAGTCGACACAACGTGTAACGCCAGGGAACACAGCCACTTCATAAAAGTCCCGCATAACTTTAGAAAGTGCCGCCGGCTGCGGAAAGCGCACCAGCATCGCGTACAGGTGCTTTGCGATGAGTAGCGCAACTTTTCCGACTGCACGGCACAATGTCTACTAGACTACGGAATGCGGGCGAGATTCCCGGTGACTATTTGGAATGTGCCAGCGCCGTAAAACCGAAGAGTTATCAGTAGCTGTAACACTAGAGGCATAGGCTGTCTTCAGTTGTCCTCAATTTCACGGAGCAGCAACTAACATTCTTCGTGAATCTGTACAGAGCGTGGAATTGTTGCTCGTCGTACAACTGCATCGTATTTCTTCGGTCACGTAAAGCGGGTCCAAGAATCTTCGGCAGGCAGTGCGCCTCAGAAAATGCTACGCTTATGGTGAGGCAAGCAAATTCAAAAGCGACCACCCTCTGCGCGATGTTCATTCGAGATGTGGCTATGTTGGAGTAATGCATGAAGTCTCTTTCAAGTTAGTCCACAGATGACTTGAAACTTGTCCTGACTTCAACCGAGCCAAGCTGCCTTCAAATCGTCCGCAAGTTCGAGAGCGATTTATGGCGACCGGCAAGACTGCATTGAGTCAAGAACAAGTCAAGTAACATCTCTGCGTTCGGGGGTTATTGCCACAGGTTGTTCAAAATGAACTGCCTCGTAAAATGGTATTGCTTTAGCGCAGCGCAGTTTGAGCATGGAGATGCTACAGTCAACAAGGAAAAAAAAACAGACTACAGTATTCATACTGTTTTGCGATGATACGAATATTAAGGTTGTTTTGAATGGACTACATTACACAAAATACGCAGTGATTCAATGCTATACGAATGGGTTCCCCAGTCACTGCGGATGATACGAATACACAATTCACCACTACACGCACGCGCCGCAACGTGGCTTGTTTGTGGGAGGAACTCTTGGCTTAAAAGAGAGTGAATGCGGCTGAATTCGGCCCAATTTTCCTTGCTTCAGTGGCCGGAAAAACGCCGCAAGGTCAACGTGAAAAAAATCGGTCCAGGACAAATTTTCCCGCATTAGCAGATCGCTTTTGGCTTTGGTTACATCGGCTGCTCTAGCTGTTATACCACGTTATGTAAACAACCAGCCGCAATTCAACAGGGTAACAAAGACGTCCACGGTTGATCGGGTCGGCGCAATCGCAAACTACCCCGCACAGGATGGAAAAGCTCACTGCCTTAAAGAAGACTTGTTGCCGCTGCGTCCGCGCGTGTCGTTTCCGCTGGCGTACCTTCCAAGATGTTTGTAAAGGGTAAACTGTTTCTTTTCAATGCTTCGCATGCATAACGAAAACTCTGTACCAACCATAACACTCGGGTAACGGGCAAAATAGAATGAATTCTCAAATGGCTATGTCAGTGGCGGTGGTGGCATGTATGAGGGGCAGAACGAATGTGAACGTTTTCGACGAGCGTGGTCGTAGTTTTTCTGCCGCTCTGGCGTTTCCGCTTGAATTCCCCAGCGTGAATCCTCCAAGACTAATTTTTTTTTTTCATGTCGACTTCGCGGCGCGGTTCTCTGGCCGCTTAAGCGCGTCGAAGTGAGTTGATTTCCAATGAGCTTAGCCACTTTTGCTTCCTTTGACGTCAAGAGCCACACCAGCAGCATGAGTGAGGAAACCGCGGCACTTTAAGGAGAAGACGGTGAGTGCAGGATAGTACAAAGGAACGTCACTTTTTCAGCAAGAAGTACCGTAATTACTCGAATCTAACGCGTACCTTTTTTCCCGGTTCAAAGACTCCAAAAACTCGAGTGCACCACGATGCCGCTTTTAAAAGAAAAGTGATCGCGTATGCAGAAACGGACGGAAATCGGGCCGCATTGCGGTCGTTCGGAGTTCCCGAAACGTGCATGCGGGACCGACGGAAACAAAAGCAGAAGATTGTCAACAGCAAAGCTTCACGCAAAGGCTTCAGTGGACCACAGCAGGGTCGGTTTCCGCAAACTAAAGAGCTGCTCGGCGAGTATGTGCTTGAGCAGCGAGCGGCACAGCGGCCCGTGACGACAGAACTGCTCCAAGTGCGGGCTATGCAATTAGTCTTAGAAAAAGGTCTAATGCGGAGCCAGTTTAAAGCGAGCAGGTGCTGGCTAACTAACTTTATGAAGAGGAAAGGCTTTTCCCTTCGAAGGGGAACATGCATATGCGAAAAGTTTTGCGGAGAAGTACGATGAAAAGCTTCACAGTTTTCAGAGGTTCGTCCTAAACTTGCAGCGCAACAACGGCTACCTGCTTGGGCAAATCGGGAATGCCGATCAGACGCCTCTTTACTTAGACATGCCTGGCACCACAACTGTCGAGAAGAAGGGGGCGAAGCAAGTTCGCGTGCTGACATCGGCCCACGGTAAAACTACAGTGACGGCAATGCTCTGTTACACGTCAGATGGGCACAAGCTTCGCCCGTACCTCATATTTAAATGGAAGATGCTCCCGAAAGTAGTAGTTTTTTCGAGTGGTGTGATCGTGCGGGCCAGCGAGAAAAATGGGTGCACGTTGCAATCGATGTCTTACGTTTTCTTTTTTCGCGGTGGAAATCGGGTGTGCGTTACAATCGAGGGCGTGGTAGAATAGAGTAAATACGGTAGTTGCCCCTTGCGAGGTACACACATTAACCACACATTGCTACGGTCGTGCCAGACCACAGATGCAGCCCACCATGGTCGGCCACAGCTCAAGTTCTTTTGCGGTTGATTCACGCGTGCGTTTTCTCACTGCATTTTGCGCGACTTCTAAAGAGTAAGTGAACTGTTTTTTTAGAAGCTTTGCTTTTTTGCTCCATTTTGGGACCACAAAGAACCGAGGGTGCGTAAAGATCTCGGACCACAAAGTATTCAGATGGTTACCACACCACACAAATTGACCACATTTCTGTTCACTACGCACCACAGTGAGGCTAGAGCAGGAGTCGTCGCTGGTCAGTGCGATGTCGTTGCCAACAGTGCTACCCATGCCGTCTCCCACTAGGCTGAGGAGAGCAGAGTCGGAGCGGCTGGAGGACAGCGCCTTCTTTCCCGCCTGCGATGTCATGCCAGGGCTGTGCTGAGGTGTGGAGTTTGGGGTTGTGCTCTGGAAGCAACCACCGCACGCACATTGGTTGAATCAAAACCTAGGGCCAGGCAAATAATAGAAATTTTCAATGATCAGATCGACACGGTGTGGAATATTATAGCCTTTACATGTTATTACTTGTCTTTTTCCAAGTTGTAAAAAAGTCCAATTGCACAGTAACCAGCCCTGAATCGCTGCAAAATTGCAACAAGTTTTACCACCATGCACATAGCGAAGGCACAAAAGCACGACAGCACAACAAATACCTTGCTCACAGGGCCAATTTTTACCGGCTTTCCAACGATCTTACGCACTCTCCAAAGGGTTTGGCACATTTAAGAATTTTCGCTCTCAATCTTCAGTTTCTGCTTTCAATGCTATAACTACAAATCCTAGGCCTTCATCTATTTGATTTTGATTCAATTCTGACACAGTTGTTGCATCTGCTCAGCTCTCAAGTTGAAACACCTCAGGCTGACCCGGATGTGTGCGAGCAACTTACCGTTGTCTTGTTTCCTTTTTTCTTGCACCGATTGAGCACCGTACTGTGGTAGGTATTTCACAAGCTCTCTCCTGCACCCAAAGAACAACAGTGTTGAAAAGTGGGGTAAGGGGAGGGGAGAGAAGCAATGCCATTAGAGGAGGATACTGAAGTCATCTAGATAGCTCCAGTAAGAATGCTTTTGCCCGTGCTCCCCGAGAGCCAGCAGCTAACAGGACTCAATTTTTCCCCTTTTGTCACTGAATTTATCGTACGTCTACACACAAAGTTGGACATGTTTATGTGGTGTCTCAAGTTGCCTGAAAACTAGGCACATTCACCAGAAAATGGCAGAGAAAAAGACCCACCGTCTGACATATTTGATGTCCACTTCCATGTCCTGCTTGAAAATGTTGATTGCTGTCGCTTGCCGCTTCACTGAAACACACAACGTAGGTCAATATATAAACAAAAAACACCAAAATGAGGGCAAGAAAGTCTGCCACGATCACTCGCATAATTTGCGCATCTGTTCTCCCTGTTTCAAGGCGGTTGCCTCGGATCTCAGAAGAGCTACAATCCACCTCCGATTATGCATTACCCGGCTTGTTCGGGCGGTCTGTATCAGTTTTTTGGGCAGGGCCGAGTGTCACCGACTATATTCTTAGTCTTTCAATTATACGATGCCCGGATTACATGAATTTGCTTTGTCCCCTGAAGGTCGCATAATCAGTGTTCCACTGCAACTGCATCCCTCACATTAATGAACACGGCTGCTTCGATGGCATTTGCCACGGCACAGTTTACAGCATTCCAATGCATTACACATGCTCCTTTGACCGAGAACCTTAGCGAATGTGTAAAGTCGATCCTGTTTCCCAAAAATTCGAAATACAAAATATGCATATTTAAGGCCAAAATCGAAGAACTTCAGACCTCTGAAATTGTTACCAAGAGCTAAGATAAAGATTCGCTCAAAAACAAGGTGCAAACTGCAGGTTACCGCACTTTATTTAGTCTGTAAACATGTCTTGCTTCTTGCTCGCTGTCAAATTCCAGTCATCCTTAATGTCGTGGAAGCTTTCCAAATAAGCGAAGTTAGCTTCTTCGGCCACATAGCTGGTTGACGCAGAATGCAGATGCAAGCTTTATAGTGCAGCAAAAGCTTGGTTAGCGGTGGCAGCGAAGGCGTTGGCGCATTCATAACCGCACGGCTACACTTCTGTGGCACTGGTGACGGCAGCCAAAATCTCAGCGTCGATGCAGCCAGAAACCACAGCATCGTCATTTGTACTGATGAGCCACTAATGTCGGAGATGGTGGCCGGAAATGCTGACAAGTCGCAGAATTCCCTAAGGCACCGTACGCCGTTGTTAGCAGTCATGACGCATTCGAAGTCATCACCTGGCCCGCAAGGAACGTTTACAACAAAGTGTTTTACTTGATGTCGCTCCAAGCGCCAGTCAATTTTTATCGCTACGCGCAGGTCAACGTTCAGTTAAACTCCCCAATGAGGATTTATCCGAAGCGAGGCAAGAAGTGCACAAGGCTACAAGGCGCAAAAGACGCAACGCGGAGTTTGAGTTTTCAGTCGACGTGTTGGCGATATCGATGTCACTATGGCTGTATAGATGGCAGCCGCTGCTTTTAGCGACACTGAAAACACTAAAAATACGTAACAAGGTACCACATCCAGAAGACCATGCTATTCAGGCTTGCATGCCATTGTGAGCTAAGGAAGAGCATGCGAATTGTATTTGAACATTGCACTGAAATCGACAAGTCACTTCCCATTCTCATTTCGGCGCCCTCATCAATCGGTCTTCTGGAAAACATTATGTCCGCACGCTTAACACCTCTAGATCGCGCATCAAACGTACAGTGCTGCACAAGGAACCAAATCAGCACGACGGAATAACATCCGTTTCTTTCGTCGACTGAGCGGGAAAAAGGATTGAAACTTGTTAAAATGCGGCCTAAAATTGATCAATATTTGCTAGGAAAAATACACTTTCTGGGCTTTGGCGCGGCACAGCATTCGATATAGCGGATCTCCCGCTGTGCGGAAGTTTGATATAGGGTGCACGTGCCCTATATTTTTGCATGAAAAGTTCAAGGGAATTTTTCAACAGTTCGATACAGCCAAGAATTCGATATATCCTGCATTGCTTGGGAAGTTCAAGAGAATTTTTCAACTGTTCGATATAGCCAATAATTCGACATAGTACTGCATTTTTTCGCACATAACCCCCTTGCATAAATCCCCAACCCTGATGAGGAAAAAACTTAATGGAGGGGTGGAGGAAGTAAGAGGTCCAAGCATATCATCACAAAGTGTCGCAAACATTAGACTGCAAATAGAAATTTGCATATAACCTGCACTCTAACTTTACGAGGATCAGCCGTCATGCAGACACTGCGAAATCAGGGCATCGATGAAGTATATATAAACATCCTGCAAGAAATCTACAGGGGATGAACTGCTACCATAGTGCTCCATAAAGAGAACAACAGAATACCAATCAAGACGGGTGTAAGGCAGGGGGACACAATCTCCCCAATGCTGTTTACTGCATGCTTACAGGAGGTTTTCAGAAGCCTAGAATGGGAACAGTTAGGGATAAGAGTTAATGGAGGGTACCTTAAGGGGGGACGCGGCACTTCGCGACCGAAAATCAGCCAAAAAATCGAGTTTTCGCGGACCTTCTTTTCGCGTTCCCGACATCATTGCGCACCTATTTACAAAATTTCATAGCCGAATACCATCAACTTTTATCGTTATTCAACTTTAAAAAACCGAAAACGGGCGTCCTGCCCTTTAAATTAAGGGCGAATAGCGCAGGTTTCGGCTCTACGATACGCGGGAACTACGCGCTCGATCGGCGCAATTTTGGTCTTGTTTGAAAGAACGCGTTTTAAGCTGTTTTTTTTATTCAGTAAGCAACATTGAGCGTTTCCCCGGCTCGAAAAACGGGGCCTCAAAGACGAAGAGCCGCGCTCACTGCCATTGGCTAAACGGCGCACGTGACTGAAATGGCGCTTTCCGGTTGGCTGGAAGCTCGCGGCTTGCGCCTGCATACGCGACTCGACGCCATTTTGAAAGGGTTACCGCTGTGACGCCTCGAAATCGGCAGAGCACTCTGAAGCTTCTGATCGTATCGCCATGCCTGGAAACGCAAAAAAGTATCGGACCGTGCACGCATTTGGTCGCAGGAAACGCAAAGGTCGTGGGAGAAAGTCTACGAAGTCATCAGAGCCCTTGGTTGACTCCGACGAACGATGTGTCGACGCTCCGCGGCCGTTCAGCGATGGTGCGACCGAGCGCGTTGCCTCCGACGACGATGACGGTGAAGCGAACTCCGGACGACTACGAATCGACGCCAAGGTGGTGACAAACGCCGAAGTTGAAGAAAATCATGCCCGGGAGAAAGCGACGCTCGACCGGCTTTCATCGGCGCCAGCAACTGCACGGAAAATAGACTTTTTCACCGCGAGTTGTAGCGAGGCAACCGCACAGGACTCTGACCACGCTGCTCCTTATCTGCTTATGCATCTAGATATCCTAAACGCGATAATGGGTGCCTTGTGTTGCAAAGCCTGCCACGGACCGGCTACAATCGTCAGAGGGGATCGGGACTACGGGCTTGCCGTGAAAGTGCTAGTGCAGTGTGAAAGGTGCGGCGAGATCGCGAATGAATGGACTTCGCCCCGCACGAACGGCACGAAAACGTGCAATCCGTTTGAAGTAAATCTTCTCGCTTCGAGGGCGATGGTGGCTACCGGCAACGGCCAAACAAAAAATGAACGATATTTTCGCAACGATGGGCATCTCACACCGCGGTATGCACCACAAGACGTTTCAGCGGCATTTGAAGAACACGCTGGCACCCGCTGCAACGCGAGCGGCTGAGTCCGCTATGAGCGAATGTGCGGAAAAGGTTAGAACAATTTATGATGACTTGTGCTTCGGCCACCGGGGCAATATTGCCGTTAGCTACGACGGCACGTGTAAGACGCCAGGCCATTCTTCCCACATCGGCGTGGGCACAGTTATCGAATTATTTAGTGGCTACGTGTTGGACTACGTCGTTCTTTCCAACTTTTGCCTAGGCTGCGAGGTGGGCCCAAAGCCTAGTAGTGAGGGCTATCAAGAATGGAAGGCTAACCACAAATGCCAAAAAAATACGAACAGCAAAGCGGGGCAAATGGAAGTGGAGGCGGCTCTAATTCTATTTCAGAGGTCGCTTGAACGCCATGGCCTGCGCTACACAACTATGCTGTCTGATGGAGACTCTAGGACATTTTGCGCCATACAAGACGCCAAGGTGTATGGTTACATTGACGTGCAGAAGGAAGACTGTATTAATCATGTACAGAAACGGATGGGCACCGCATTGAGAAACCTGGTGCAGAAACAAAAGTGCAATGGGAAAAGAGGCCTTGGTGGGAAAGGCAGGCTCACAGGTGAGCTGATCACCAGGCTGAGCACATATTATGGCCGGGCTCTGAAATCGCATGAAGGTGCCGTGGGCGAGATGCAAAAGGCTGTGATGGCCACATACCGCCACGTCACCTCCACTGATGAATGCTCGGACCACAGTCTGTGTCCAGCTGGTGAAACTTCATGGTGTCGGCACAATGCCGCAAAAGCAAAGGGTGAGCCCGACCCCAGGCATGCCTACAATCTACCGAAAGACGTGGCAGAGGCATTACTACCGGTTTATACCCGGCTTTCGGAAAGAGCCCTGCTTCAGAGGTGCGAACGCGGCAAAACGCAGAACTCCAACGAGAGCATACATTCGGTAATTTGGAGTTTGGCCCCCAAGGAGCACCATGCGTCCCTGTTTGCTGTTGAAGCAGCTGTTGCAGAAGCAGTGCTGCGCTTCAACACGGGCAATTTGAATTCTGCAACGGCAATCTTAGGTGAAATGGACATGAATGCGACAAGTACTGGTGCCAGGAGAGCGAGAGAAAAAGACCACCGTCGCAGCATTGTCTCCAACAAGAAAAGAACAGCCTCATTGGAACTCCGGAAGCTAGTGAAGAGGAGGCATGAGCACAGAATGCATTCAGACTATGCTTCTGGTGCGTTTTGAGGTTGTCTTGTTGCATCTTCTGCAATAAAAATGTGTGCCCACGTTTTTTCTCGATTTCTCAAAACGACAATTTTCATGTGCTTCCCATTATGCCGGAGCAATATCTCTTGTTCTATCTGGGTTATCATTACGATTTCTTTTTTGTTTCGAAGATAAATGCAGGGGATGTGTCGTAAAGTAAGTTTTATTGTAATAATTTTTGGAGAAAATTGTCTAAATGGATCTTTTGTTTCAAGTGTAGATGGGGAAATTTTTCATGTCATATTCAACATCCCACAACTTTGCTTCGAAATAGCCCAGAACAATGATTTATACTTTATTGCACACTGTGAACATACCGAATTGGTTCTATAGGTTGCACATCAATATCCAAGTTAAAGTTAATTAGCTAATTAGGCCTTAATTGAAAAAGTCGCAGTTCATTATATGTTTAAAACTAATTGTCACAGCAAAAAAAAGAATTAGATTTTTGAAATCAGCAGTAAAATCTACATAGGCTCTCCAAATTTGACTGAGGTACTTGCAAAAATAAAAGAGTTTTTGGAAGGTGTAGCATCCCCCCTTAAGTAACCTGCACTTCGTCCATAACATTGCATTGCTGAGTAACTCAGGCGACGAATTGCAACTCATGATTACGGAGTTAGACAAGGAGAGCAGAAAGGTGGGTCTTAAAATTAATCTGCAGAAAACCAAAGTAATGTGTAACAACCTCGGAAGAGAGCAGCGCTTCGAGATAGGTAATAGTGCACTTCAAGTTGTAAAAGACTGTCTACTTAGAGCAGGTAATAACCGCGGAACCGAACCACGAGACTGAAGTAGATAGCAGAATAAGAATGGGGTGGAGCACATTTGGCAAGCACTCTCAAATTATGACAGGTAGATTGCCCCTATCCCTAAAGAGGAAGGTATATAACAGCTGTATCTTGCTGGTACTTAGCTACGGAGCAGAAACCTGGAGACTTGCAAAGCGGGTTCAGCTTAAATTGAGGATGATGCAGCCAGCAATGGAAAGAAAAATGATAGGTGTAACCTTAAGAGACAAGAAGAGAGCAGAGTGGATTAGGGAACGAACAGGGATTAAGGATATAGTTGAAATCAAGAAGAGGTAATGGACATGGGCCAGGCATGCAGCGCGTAGACAGGATAACCGCTGGTCAATAAGGGTAACTAACTCGATTCCCAGAGAAGGCAATGGTAGGTGTAACCTTAAGAGACAAAAAGAGAGCAGAGTGGATTAGGGAATTAACAGGGGTTAAGGATATCATAGTTGAAATCAAGAAAAGGAAATGGATATGGGCCTGGCATGTAGCGCGTAGACAGGATAACCGCTGGTCATTAAGGGTAACTAACTGGATTTTCAGAGAAGGCAAGCGGGTTAGGGGAAGACAGAAAGTTAGGTGGGCAGATGAGATTAAGTTTGCGGGTATAAATTGGCAGCAGCAAGCACAGGACCGGCTTAACTGGCAGAACATGGGAGAGGCCTTTGTGCTGCAGTGGACGTACTCAGGCTAATGATGATGATGATAACTTTAGCTTCAGATTTTCTACATGTTCTGTGTGAGTAACAAGTGGTGATATTGTCAGTCATTGCTTGGGCAAGGAGAAACACCTGCCTCTTTTAAGTCTATCGTTTTGGTACAAGATGGTTTCACCGTTCTGTTCCTACCAACATTTCGTGTGTGATAGGACAATGATGCAGACACAAGAAGCACTTCTTGAGAAACCCTTGCGTAAAATGAGCTTTTCAAGGTAAGGACCTTTGTATTCGAATATAATAAAGATGTACCCAGTAGAGATCTCAAAGTGAGCGAAACTTGAATGCAGAAGAAACGTAACTGCCAGGAGAATTAATTTCCTACTCTATGGGGTGCTTGCCGCTCTCTCTCTTTCAATCGTCAATGCAATGGCATGTCACAGTTTCCTTTTTAAAATCCGGTATGGATACAATCTTGTGCATTCTTATTTTAAACTGCAAAGTTCTAAGCTAGATTTAAACGATTACAGCACGTAATTCGAAACAAATCACATGTGACAATCCATTGGGTGGGCTTGACTCCACTACAGAGAATTCAAACCGCCCCTTAAGTTGTGGCTAAAGATCATCAAGGAAGTCTATACCAGATACACGTAAGCCACGTACCAGTGTCGACGAATGACCGTGTGTCGTAGGTGAGATCGATGTTGACGTGCTCGGTCTTGTTGAACTGAAGACCAATGAACCACATGGACTGGCGCTTGTCCCTATGGGTCAAGCACACAAATACGTAAGTCACTAGACAAGCGTAAATTCAAGGCGTTTCAGGCAGCTTCAACTCGCACACAACTACCACAAAACTGGGATGGAAGGAGTCTATTTTTTAAAATTTTTTATACAAAATTAAAATTACAAACAAGGATCATTTCTGAAGTAAATATTAAGCACCACGTACCCCCTAAAAAATTCTGTGTTTTCATGCACAAAACTCCTTCCCCCATCCCAGTTTTCACTCCAAGAAAAGAGCCTACCTAGATACATTGAAACGTCATTAATATGTACCTGCCAGGAACACTGCATAACAATGCCATAAATGGTAGTACGCATCAACCACCAAGTGCAGATTTAAATTTGATGATATGAGCCATTACCGCCAACAAATAGTTTTCATAGCAAATACTTCCTACAGTACCTGCCACTAAGCCTTTTCTTTCTTCTTGCCGAAGTGTAGAAAAGATTCCGCCACTATCTAATAGCATGGCCAATACAGTCAAATCTCATTGTAGTGAACCTCAGGTCAACTTGTTCATTCAGATTGACAACTTTTTTGAAAATCCCGCTCAATATGTCTGTTGGTTTAATGCAAAATATTTCACTACTACCACATTTGTAATATCGAATGTTCAAGAAGATCGTATAATTTTATCGCCCTTACATCTCCGAACACTTGAAGATAACAAATAGTGATATTTAAAAAATGCTCATGGCTGTGAAAACAATGCCTAGCTTCTAACGTGCTACTATCATAAACAGAAAGCCCCCGTATTTCTCGATGACCCTGTGCTATTTAAATTTGCGACAGCCCTATCGCCATTGCGACAGCCTGCGCTTGTTTTTAGGGTCGGGCATAACTGCATTGCATTGCCTTAGTTTAGTCTGGCAGCTCTACCTGAGAGCATGCAAAGCTGTATTCAAATGAGGGATGAAATTGTAGCGATTTAACCTGGGCAACGCATATTACGAACATCATTGCATCTGCTAACAAAACACTCGGGTTTTTAAAACGCCATTTGCGTCACGCTCCTAATAATGTCAAATTACTAGCTTATCAATCCCTCGTAAGGACGAAGATAGAATACGCATCAGCCATTTGGAGCCCGCATCAAGCATATCTCATCAATCAACTCGAGTCACTTCAAAATCGAGCCACACGATTTATTCATTCTACGTACTCTTACGATATCAGCATATCAGCACTGAAAACAGAATCTGGCCTATCATTGCTTGCATCTCGTCGCCGCATTTCTAGTCTTTCCCTTTTTCACAAGTTTTTTTACAGCTCGCTCGGCAGGCCACCATACATTCTTCCTCCGGCACGCATCTCCCATCGCACTGGTCACCCGCAACAAGTTGAGCGGCCGCGTACGCGCACCGTCACTTTTTCGTCCTCATTCTTTTTTCGTGCAGCTACGGACTGGAACGGCCTTTCTAACGAAATCACCGCCATAACCTGTCCTACCACCTTTTTGAACACCGTAACAAACTACCTTGCATTGTAAAAAAAAAAAATGGCTTTCACGTTTTCATATATGTACCCACCCCTTATGTAATACCCCTTCAATGGGGTCTTTAAGGTAATAAAATGAAATGAAATGAAATGAAATTGCGATTAACACCAGCAAATAACCACCTCATCCCCATACAGCACCCGCCCCACTTTTCGTGAAAAAACGGACGCCCAAATCACAGTTGGAATCCTTAGAGAGCAAAGCCAAAATCCTCACTTGCAGGGTGAATTCACTGTCTCGTGAACCCTGGTTGTGGAGGGATCCGAATCGCATCACATGTCACACGACTGATCAGCCCCTGATCACGTCCGTCGTGTGAATACAGCTTTACACGGCTATTTTCTCGCCTTTGAATTGGTGGTCGTACAATCACAAGAGCTCCGAAAACTGCTGAACAGAATGCGATGACAGCGAAAAGTGCACCACGAGCAAGAACTATGTAGAAACAGTGCTAAAGAGTTCGCCTTGAAGCAGTCGAGCTGCACCCATTAGGCAATGACTGCACTCTTCCTCAAATGTGCACTTTTTCCATAATAAAATCGAGCCCGCTTATAGCGAACCTGAGCATCACGCTGAATCCGTTCGCTGTATCCCGAAGTCTGTAGTAAATGAAACACAGCTTTTAAAAAAAGTGATGCCAGTGTTTCGAAGAGCAGAAGCGATAAGGGCGGTCTCGAGTTCATTTAAAACGGCAGGGTGCTCGTTCGCCGAGGCCCGTGGCATAAGCTGCATGAGGCACTGGCTCCAAAGTTTCGTCATTCTCTTCTCGCAATCCGATTCCTCCAAATTGCTCTCGCCCCATACTTCATTCACAATGCCTTAATCGTGCACGGTTCCGCAGTGTCGGCATCATCATCGGCCGTAATTAAACCATCACAACAGATCTCCCACCCGCTCTCTCAGGTCAAAGTCGACGATGCGCAGCCACAAATCGCCCCAGCAGTGGTCCTGTTCGGAACCTTCAGGCTCAGCATCTGGCCCGACGTCGACGAAGTCTGCCTCGTGAGAACAGTTTCGCGCGCCTGTAGTCGTCACCGCCGCCCACAAAGCCAAGCGGTTACACTTTCGACGTTTTGTTGAGCGGCAGGAAAAAGCGTGCTAGTCCTCCCGTCGGCCATCATGACCACACACGCACACCAAGAGGGAGCAAGACCTGCACACGCGACGCACATGCCAGAACGCGTGGAACACCTCTGCACCCGTTTCCAGTCAGAAAACGAAACTGATTCAAGCCAGCGTGGCGGGCGTTGCGGAGGTGTGGAGACGAGCGAAGGGGTTGTGATCAAGAGAGGAGAGCAGCCTTGCGAGAGAAGGGCAAGGAGTTGCGATAAAGAGAGGGGAGGATGCGGCGGGAGGGCGACCTTGAAAACCAAAACACGCAGGAAGGACGCAGGGTTGGGTAGCTTGCTTGAAAGGTCCGCGAAACTCGCATGTGGAAAAACATGGAAAGAGTCCGTGCGCGCGCAGAAGCCAAAGCATGGCCGCCTGGATCGATGCGTGCGGCAGTGTTCGAAGAAACGGCGGCCATGGTCAAAAAATCGTTTTGTTGCGCCGGTGGGTTTGCGTGGCCTCACGAACTTAGATATTTCGCGATTCTTTCCGAGCAAATCAACAGCCCTTTTTCGCAAGCACGTGAAAGGCATGCTGAGCCGAGTGCGAAGTGAGCGAGAACAAGTCCTAAACACGAAAAGAATCGCAAACTATCAGAGCCGATAGGGTAGCGTTACGCGTGAACTAGACACAGACTATCGGATACAGTCTGTGGCCGACGATATTGGGAAATGGCTTGGTCACTCCAGGCCGGCGATGCCAACGACAGTACCAGCGATCAAAAACAGGGTAGATGGCCGACCAGTCGTTGAAAGATCGGTGGCAGTGTGAAAACACTGGCCTCGTCTAGCGATGCGGCGTGCTCAGAGTAGCGGTGAGGCAAAAGACAGAGGGGTGCTTAACAAAAAGCAGTCGGGTCATGGAGGAAGGAAACAGCTTTCTTTCCTCCATAGGTTGGGGAGAGCGGCAACTAGAGGTTCGCGGAGGCAGGGTCGGCGTTTAACAATAGAATGCATGGGCACCTTGCCGATGCCCGATCAGTGGTCCAAATTGGTTTCCCGGGAAGTCTGCAGACCGCTGACTCCGTTCGCTGTAACAGATCAACGGCGCGCGGCGACGTTGGTTGTAGGAGCGATTTTGTGTCATTGAACCAATGTACAGTGCAGACCACTTATAACGTAACCGCTTTTTGCGCGGGACCGGTTATAACGTGGGTTTTTTTGACCACCGATATGTCGCCCATAGAACTCAATGTATAAGCCGACTGTTTATTGCGTAGGCGCGCGAAGAAGAATACCGGTTATAGCGCACAGTTTTAGGCGCGCTACCATAAAATCAGCGAACGGAGCACGGTCGGCACGGTGTCCCAACGGCGTTCCCGGCGCGCCAGAACGCTGGGAGTGTGAGAGGGAGGGCGCACGTGGAGACCGCCGCAAAAAGTCAAACATTGCGGAGGAGAACAGTAGGGAAGAGTCAGGGGGACCTTGGAAGGAGGGAGCTTGTTTTCGTCACTGTGGCGACTGTGGCAGCGTCCGAATCCGGGTGCGCGCTGCGTGGAGTGGGGCAGAGAAGCGGTAGCATGCTTTTTTTTTTCTCAACCTCCTTCTTTTGCCTATTTGGATTTGCTGTGTGCGCTTCGCCGTGTTGTTGCCAGTCTGAGATCCCAGAGCACGTGTGTTACGTAGCTCCTGTCACCATGGCATCGGCGGCGTCTTCAAGCGGTGTGAAAAAACGCTGTGCATTATCGCTGGAGATTAAGGAATGCGTCATAAGGGACATTGAAAGTGGCCTGAAGAAGGCGTTGGTGGCGGCGAAATACGGCATTTCAACACGTCCATGTCGACTATCTACAAAAACAAGGACAAACTGCAGCAGCAACTGCAGCAAGATTCGTCTTCCATGTCATGGAAGAGAATACGTACGCCAAAATACGAAGACGTGGACGCAGCGCTGTTCAGGTGGTTCCGCGAAGTTAGTACTCAGAGCATCCCAGTAAGTGGCCCCATGCTCCAACAAAAGGCCAAGTGTCTCAGAGCTCTTTTAGGCCACGACGACTTCAATCCACTCAACGGGTGGATTCAGCGTTTCAAAGATCGCCATGGCATCAGCTGCAAAGTGGTGTGCGGAGAAAGCGGTGCTGTCGACGACGAGTCTATCGAAGTCTGGCTTCCCTTGAACTTTGAGAGTATGCTGTCGACCTATACTGACAGAGACATTTATAATGCCGATGAAGTTGGTTTATTTTATAACCTTTTGCCCAACCGCACGCATGCCCTGAAAGGCGAAGCCTGCTCCGGCTGCAAGGCCTCAAAGAAAAAGGCATAACTGTATTGTTTTGCGCCAATTTGGACGGGAGCGACAAGCGCCGCATCTTTGTCATAGGTAAATCGGCAAGGCCACGTTGCTTTAAAAAGCGAGAGTGCCTGCCA